TATAACATCAGCTATCGTTCAGTGAAAGTCCCGTCGAAATCGATCCAGCCGTTTCGAAGATTAGCCGGAACAAACAGACGGACAAAAATTTTAAAAATTGTGTTTTTGTTATAGGTACCGTATATACTTTCAAAAAGCTGTTTTTTGATATTACAAACAGACAAGTCAATTTTATTTATTTGTATAGATAAGCAAAAACTATAACTTAGTAATACTAATTACAACTTAGAATATAAATAAAAAACTCGTGACAAGTAAAGTGGTTTAGGACCAGGCTTTGTGGCAGTCTATGGAGGAGGATGTTCCGTAGTGGACTTGTGTAAGGTTATAATGACTGAAGGTTATAATGATTTAAAAACTTGGATGATTAAATTATTAGAAATCGATATAATACATAATATTTTATCATAATTTGCTTTAATTTATTGAACTGCTTTAAACTAAAACACAGTAAGTTAAGTAGTAAAACGTTAAAATAAAATAATGTTGTCGTCTGCCTTAATAATATCCCATGCTTGTGACATGCAGATTAAAAATTAAAAGTTACCTACAATAGGTACTTACCAAAAACTCAAAAGGCACAACCCTATGCTATGCTGGCATTAAGTACACAAAAGGACGACATTCGGTACAGGATGGCCGGCATTTGAGCCATAACGCCTTTTTTTGCTTATCGTCGTTTTTAAAATTGTTCTTGAAATAATATGATTGTAAATAAATGTTCATTATATTTTTAGATAAATAACCTATCGATTAAAACAAATGTTTAAAAATATTGTGCCCTAATTAAAATAGCAGGAATTTTTAAAGTTGAAATTGGCACTAAAAGGCTGGTAATAGGGGCATCCACCCTAAATGTATTTTGAGACTCTCGAAGTGTAGGCTATTCAATTTTAGAGCTTAGTAACATAAAAAATAACTCAAATACAACACAAACACTTTATGATATTTGAATTTGAAAGTAACCATTTCTTGTTTTTGTTTTTGCTACTAATGAAAAAAAAACATCGTATATCAAAATTTTTGCTTACTTAAATATTTGTTATTTACCGACAAAACAGATTGTACTAATTATGTAACGTAGATAAATTATCCTGTTTACTATAAAATATCTTCGATAATACTGAACGGTTATGTATTACGTCGACTTTTTGCTAAACATAACAACAACACAACACACAAACAAACAGGACAGTTTTTATTTTCGACTTGCTGTGCCCGGTATAGCGCATGCCTTTCTTCTACCGTTTTTGAAATGAGTTAGAAAATTATTGTAACTGATGGACGTTCGAGTATTACGTAAGTGTAAGCAATCTTTCTATGATTTTGGGGAGGGGGGGGGGGGGGCGTTTATAAGTGAAAATTGCGAAGTCCGGCCTCACCCTGTAAGATAAGACGTAAGATTTTTTTCAAAACTTTTATTAAATACTGGCTGGTACACGGCGCATTGCAGCCGCAGAAGAAATAATTGTGGAAATATCGTTTTAAATTTGGATATTGATATTGTTTTATCGTTTTAAATTCGGATATTGATAACTTTTATTAAATATTGGCTGGTACACGGCGCGTTGCTGCCGAAGAAGAAATAATTGTGGAAATATCGTTTTAAATTTGGATATTAATATTGTTTTAAATTTGGATATTGATATTGTTTTATTTTTTTAAATTTGGATATTGCTAACCTGGCGTGTTGTAGCCGCAGAAGAAATAATTGTGGAAATATCGTTTTGAAGTTTGAAGAGTTGTATTGTTTATTAATTAGGAATGACAATACATTCATGGAAGTTGAATGATATATTATAACTTTCAAATAAATTTTGTCACTCACCCACACGCACACGTACACGCACACGCACACGCACACGCACACGCAGCTACTCACGCACACGCACACGCACATATATATGCGTAAAACTCTTTTTGTAGTTCCGCAAGCCTTTTAGGCATTCCGCATACATAAATTACTCATGGGTAAACATTTAGACCCTACACAATTATTTGTCAGTCATATAAATACATGTTTGGATGGATGGATTTGTACCAGCAGCGGCTGCATACAAATGCGCTTCCGAGCTGTCAAGTCTACGGAAGGCTTGCTATGCATCTAACCTACCGTGTCCTATAAAACACATTCAGACCCAAAAACAAAGGTTGTTTCATTGGCTCAGGCGGGTATTGCTAGACGTATGTACATAGACCACTAAACAATACGGCGTCACTTAAATACAGTAGATGATAATGTTAAGATGGGGTTGATCTACCGATACGATATCTACACCATGATCTTTATATTTATTTTTTAATATTATAAAAAGGAAAGATTTGTTTGTTTGTTTGTTTGAATTGAATAGGCACCGAAACCACTGGACCGATTTGAAAAACTCTTTCACCATTAGAATCCTACATTATCCATAATGAACATAGGCTATATAATATTTTCAAAAAAGTTAAGGATCCGTATGAAAACTTCGTAAATGTAACCCAAGGTGTGAAAAAAATTCCAAAAAGAATCCTTACATCGCGTACGCTGCGGAAACTATTGACAATAGAGCAAAGTAATGTACTTCAGTTTTAAAGAGGATATCAATATCTACAAAGTCTGCGATACCATATGTTTAACTATTACAGTTATGTCACAATAACTACTTTTTCATGTTAAAATCTGAAATAGTAACGCCGGTACAAACTAGGCCACATTATTCGTATCAGTACCTGTATCATGCATAACCACCAATTACGTTAACCATGTAATTTTAGTAACATATTTCACTTTTTAAATCTTTGTTAATTCAGCAACCGTCCGTCGTGATGTCTCTCTCGAAGTTCGCATGTCGCAAGGCGCAGACGCATGATATATGCGGGTGAAACCGCGGGACACAGCTAGTAATATATAATATAATATAATAATATTATAAAGAGGAAAGATTTGTTTGTTTGTTTGTTTGAATTGAATAGGCTCCAAAACTACTGGACCGATTTGAAAAATTCTTTCACCATTAGAATCCTACAGTATCCCTGATGAACATAGGCAATATAATATATTCAAAAAGTTAGGGATCCGTATGAATACTTCGTTAATGTAACCCAACGTGTAAAAATACGGAAACTATTGAGAATAGAGCAAAGTGATGTGCTACAGTTAGAATAGAATAGAATAATTTTTATTCAATATACATTACATGTGTAATTCTTATTGAAAGTCATTTTTTACTTTACCACTAGTTCGAAAAAAAACCCTCTGTACTGGGAAGAACCAGCAAGAAACCCAGCCGGACTTTTTTTTTAAATAAATGTTACAATATAAATGATTACGAACTGTGTTCTTGACACCATAGTATTGTAGCTTCCTGATTAATATCTCATGGTGAACATAGTCGAAGGCCTTGGAAAGGTCACAAAATATACTCAAAGCATCCTCTGAATTCTCCCATGCACAAAAATATGTTTAATAAACTCAACTCCAGCGTCAGTTGTCGAGCGACCCCTTGTAAAACCGAATTGTTTTTATGTAGCAATTTATTAATATTAAAGATATTTATCATCTGATCTAAAATAATTTTTTCAAAAATTTTACTTAATGTTGGTAGTACAGAAATTTGTCAAAATAGGCGGGGTCTAATGTACTACCAGATTTAAATATAGGTATGACTTTACTATGTTTCATTAAATCAGGAAACACACCAGATTCGACGCTTATATTAAATATAGTGGCTAGATAAGGTGCTAATATATTTATTATAGATAAAATAACTTTAACGGAAATCCCCCATAAGTTTGCCGTTTTCTTAACATCAAAAGTTTAAAATATTTAACGATATCTTTTGGCAGTACTCTATGGAATTTAAAAGTATTTGAACAAGCCTTTACATTTTGTTTGAGCAATGATTCGGCGACAGTAGGAGAAGAATTTAATGATTTTGTTGTCAAAAAAGGAACATCAGTAAAAGGTTTCTCAAAAGCCATAGCAACTTCTTGATCAGATCGCGTTAAATTATTATTAATATTCAATTGAAAATTCGAGTTGCGTGGTTTGACCTTGCCCGTTTCACTATTTATTATTCTACAGGTCATTTTAATTTTGTCGGATGCAGTTTTAATTTTGTTGCTTAAATGTAAAGCCACTTTTTTCAATATTTTAGAATTTATTTTTACATAATCTCTAAATATAACACTACTATTTTATGATCTTTCATCATAAAGCTCGTATAACCTTCGCCTACTTTTATAAATTCCTACTGTCGCCCATTCATTAAATGATTTGCGACTGTTAAAAGAGAAAGTTTTAGATGTAAATATTCTACTAAATTCACAACTTATAATTTTAAATAATGTAGCATACAAATAATTAGCACTATTTTTAAACGAAAGTGATGGAAGTCTTTTTATTATTTTACTTCTAAACCTCTCCAAGCGGTGTTCATTTATTGGAACAAACACAACTTTCTTATTTTTCTGTTTTTTGTGTATGTTATGTGTTATATAGAGGACATCAATATATACAAAAAAGTTCGTGATACCGTATATCTAACTATTATTCGTTATGTTATAATAACTATTTTTCATATTAAAATATGCAATAGTAACGCCGGCATAAACTAGGCCACATTATTCTTACCTTGGTATTAATCCTTATCTATAAAAATAAATAAAATTGAAGTGTCTATTTGTAATGTTAAAATAACAGCTTTTTACGAAACGCATATGAAAGTATACAGGATAGATACTATTAACAAAAAAAAAAACAATGTTTAAAATTTTTGTGTGTGTCTGTCTGTTTGTTCCGGCTAATCTGCGAAACGGCTGGAACGATTTTGACAGGACTTTCACTATTTTAGAAAAAGAATTAGGGTGCCGCGCAAAAAAATTAAAACCTATATAATCGTAGTAAGTTCCACTCGGGCGAAGTTGTGAGGGACAGCTAAACTAGAATATTTTTACATTAAGTATATTCTTATACTCATTTATTTAAAAAAAAATATTTTCTCATTTCAGTAACAAAGATGAAGCTGTTAAATACCTTTTCATTTTTGCTACTAATCGGATTGGCCATTGCCGCCCCAGCACCTGACAAAAGCAAGGAAAGCGAAGAGAGTAAAGAAAGCGTAGAAAGCAAAGAGAGTAGCGAAAATGAAAAAATCACTATAACCAAAGATTTTTTCCATGATTCCTTTATAGTATATAGAGGTAAACATGAAATTGTAAATATCATTGTTCCCCTAAACTCACTGAACTTTGATGATGATGCTGAAGACGACGACACAAGTGACGATAGCAACGCTACTTTATTCTTCGTCGAAGCTGATGAAGATGCAGCTGGCAATAGAATTGACAAAGGCCTCTACATCTTCAAAGACGGTAAAGCTAAGAAATTATTAGATAACGGACGAGACGCTGCTGCTTCTTCTGATGATAGCAAAGACGTGTTCTTCGGTGCAAAAGACGGAATTTACAAATACGACCCGAAGGAAAACGCAGCCGTAAAATACGGTACTGTTACAGACAGTATTATTGGTATCGCTAAAGAAAACTCTACAGATGTTATTTACATATTAACTGAGGATCACAATCTGTACAAAGTCACTGAAGATGGTCAGAAGAAAGTTAAAATAGATGATGTTGTAGGTGCTCAGGAAATAGTTTTGGATTACTCTAACAATTTATATTTCTATGGTGAAAATAAGCAACCGTACGTTGTAAATGCTGACGGTGTGAAGAAAATAGAGGGTTTACCTGAGAATCCAACTTCCGTCATACTTATTAAGCCCCCTTTTGTTGTTGAAAATGGAGTGCCTTTCATATGTGATAACGTTGCGTATATTATTTATGCAAATGGAAAAAGCGAAAAGACTGAATTCGATTTTAAATCTAACGCTAAGCCATCAGCTTATGGTATGGAGGCGACGCTAATTCAGTACTACGCTTATCATAAGAAAATTTACGAATACAATATTCTTACTCTTGTCTTATCAGGCATTGTTGATGAATTGAAAAATTTCTTAGAAAATAAAGCGTCTACTATTCAGTCAATGGCGACACGATCCAGAAGTTCCTTGAGGGCTCATTAAATATATTGAAACTAAACTATGAATATACAATTTAACAGAGTCGAGTTTTTTTTAAATATTTTAAACATTCCTAAAAATCCTTTATTAATTATCAACAAAATTCCAATTTACTCAGAGACTGGGAATTTCCTCTTCGAATACGCCCAAACCTCTCCTAACCTGCTAGTGACAAACGTAACCAACTACGTTCCAATCGCAAACGTTGCACCCGATCCCTGTATACCCCGTAACGTTTTTATCCAACCACCAATTTCACTCGATTTCAACCACCCAAACATTGCAGATACAGCCATAGAATACTATAATACAGTTACGTTATACAATGACACTACACAATACATCCAATATGTGAAACACTGATAGGACAACGGATGGGACGCGTTGCACCCGTAGACAGGCATGACGCGATCCCGCTCACACCGCGTAGGTATACACCGTACACCCGCGTACCTGGTCAGTTCTCACCGCCCAGAATAACCATCGACACAAGCTAAGCAGTTGGAAACAGAGGTCTGTACTCCCCCCACTCACTCGTTAGATCTCTTTATTTTTCAAAGTTGTTTGTTTTTGCTATTTCCAAGAATTGAACGTGTTTACAAAAGGATCCAATACAGTAACCCAAACCAATTTTAGTGGCACCATCCCAAAGACTTCATTTGTATAGTCGTAACGCTCATTGCATGGCAATAACAATCTTCAATAAGCTGCCACCACAGATCAGACAGCTGCCTATAAATAAATTTAAACGTGCAATATTTTCTTCTCTTTTGCATATGTGTTCCTTTCAACTCTGTTAACGATTTCATAGATTATACTCTCTCCTTATCCGAGATGTTCTTTACAATATGTAGTACACGGTATTTTATACCAGTTCATCACAGCTATACAAGCCAATCCTAAAAATTTTTTTTTTGGAAAAGCACATACTTCTGCACACATCACATCACTATATTAACCCGTCTGTCAAATGCAATGTTAAGGTCATGTAAAACTTTGAGGGTCCTTAAAAATTAGCAGAACAAGAAATAATAACTGAATTCTGAGACGAAACTACCCTGTTGCTCAAGGTGAGAGTCAGGATACTAGTCCTTAAAATTGTAATTCCCAAACAAATTATGAGATTTATGGATACATGTTAAAATTTAAGGACAGTATATTATTACATATTATTATGTACGTAGACACTTTTAAAAAGTTACATAATATGACATCCCCCCTTCTGTGTGGACGGGGGGGGGGGAGGAGGCCTTTGTTCCGTAGTGGACTTTTATAGGCTGCATCGGAGGGATAGATAATATGACATGAAAGTAAGAAAAGACTTGATATGAGAACAGTTTTACCTTGATATTGAATATTCAAGACTTTACAGGTTTAAATAGTTTTAAAAGATTATACATTTTAATCTAACTGTTTAGAATAATCTGAAAGATTTGAAAATAAGCCATTACTTTAATTATATCATCTTGGGATATACTTGGCTCCATACGGAGCTTATGAAGCCAATTTTGACATGTCTGCAAAAAAAAAATATTGCCCACCTTGAGATGGAATTACAATAATTTTATTACATTATTAAAAGAGTAATAAAAAGACAACAGATAGCCTGTAAGTTTTTCATGAGCTTAGTTTTATTGTAAATTTTAAGAAATTAACAAAATATAATTGAAAAAACGTAGTAACAGAAAGTAAACACTGAATTATTATTAGTGATATAATAAAACTATTTAAAAAGGAAGTAATTGAAGTCAAAAAATTAGCCTATGCAGCAAATTTCTACTGTTTGGCACATTTTTGCATCCGAGCTGTATTATGTAGCTATTATGTATAACCTAAGTTACAAGAAAGAAAGCAGTGTTTAGCATCATTAGGTTTTAAATAAAATAATGAGGTGCAAAATGCATTAATGGCTTACAAGCTTACAACAATACATAAAATATCTATTTGGGAAAATATAAAACTTACAAAATTCACTACTTAAAACAATTGTACATTGAACAATTAAAAAGAAATTTCAAAATGATTATAGTAAACAATTTTACTATTATAAGGTATTTAGAGGTTATGACAAGTTAAAATATAAGTTATATGTTAAGGACATAGTAAAAATCTTTATTTTTTTTGTTATTATATATTATGTAGGGTTTCATACCTACCAGGTTATTATTACCTTCGTATAGTAAAATAACTATGGTAAACATATAATAGAGTTATGGCTGACAGATGCATAATAGATTTCTTTTCTTACACGGAGTAATTCTGTTGACGTATACAGAAAATTTTGCCTCGTTTTCGATAATTTAAAAGATATATCTGATGATCTGGACAAATTATTTGTCACTAATGCTTTTGAGTGTGATTTGGAGGACTGCAGTAGATGTTTACCAGCTTCTCAAACTTCCCTCTCAATCCTTACACAAAATATCCGCAGCATTAACTTAAACATTACTGGTTTTGAAGTTCTACTTGCAAGATTAAAAGTTAATGTGGATATTCTTATCTTGACAGAGTGTTGGCTATCGTGTACGATTGTTATGCCATCTTTAGCAGGTTATCGTGTATTTTCAACTAAACGTAATCCCATTCAAAATGATGGAGTGGTAGTTTATATTAAAAATGATCTAATGTCTACTGTTGAAGAGCCTCCATTTATTGATGCAAGCTCGCTTCTTATAAAAATTGGCATTGACACCGCCATCCTAGCGGTTTACCGTTCTCCCTCATACTCTTGCTTAGATCACTTTATGAGTTCTTTGAATGACAATTTGCAAACAATAAAGGGCTTCAGCAATATTATTCTAATGGGAGACAGGAATATATCTATTAATGATGATAAACCTCATAAATTTTCTGATCAATACCTAAATCTTGCTACTTACCATTTATTATTACCTGCGCATACTTTCGTTACTCGCGAATCTAGTGGTACTTGTATTGATCATGCTCTTATAAAAACAAAATATCCAACAACCGCGATAGTAATGCATTCGAATCTTACTGATCATAAACCGGTTATGTTATATTTACATAAGAAACAAATTTGTTGTTACTCTAATTACACAATAACAAAGATAAATTATAATCAACTTGAAATAGATATCTCGAATATAGATTTTTCTCTTGTTTATGAATCACTTGATCCTGATTTTGCTCTAACCTATTTCCTGGAAACAATGATATCCACTCTAAATAAAAATTCTCAAACTGATTCTTTAGCAAGACGTACGAAAATTATAAAGCCTTGGATCTCACCAGGTCTTTTACGCCGCATGAAAAATAGAGACAAACTGCATTATAAAGTAAGAAAATATTCAAATAATGAAATAATCAAATTACTTCATACTCGCTATAGAAATTTTTGTAACACGTTGCTAAAAAACGTAAAAAGAGCTTATGAAAAGGGTCAAATAAAAGAAGCTGGAAATAACAATAAAAAAATATGGGATATAATTAAAAATATAACACACACAGCTAAAACAAAAAAATCTTTATTGAATTTATTGAAGGATGAGTCTTGTCCGTATAAGTCCGTCAATAAAATAAATGAGTATTTTATTAGTGTTGGTGGAACTAGCAGAAACAATAGCGAAAAATCCAAACCGTAATTTTTCTAGCGCTTCTAAGGGTCCTGCTTCCGGCTCCATTAATTCTTTTGTTTTATTAGAGACTGTCATTGCTGAAGTTAGTACTTTAATTCTGAATCTTAAAGATAATTGTGCAGCTGGTTGGGATAATATTTCAAACATATTCCTAAAAAAATTCAGAAATTACTTAGTCCCGCCTCATACATTTATTTTTAATCTTTGTTTACAAGTTGGGGTCTTTCCTAATTATTTAAAAAGTCCATAGTTATTCCGATACATAAAGGTGGTGATGAAAATCTTATCACAAATTATAGGCCTATATCATTACTTCCTGCTATATCTAAGATCTTGGAAAAACTCATTAATATCAGACTGGTTTTCGTCAGGCAAAGTCTACTTCAGATGCAGTTCATGCAGTGACTAATTTTATTGCTACGAATTTAGATAAACATAATAAATGCTTAGCCATATTTTTAGACATTGCAAAGGCGTTTGATACAGTATCGATTCCTATTCTACTAAATAAGCTTGAGTCTATAGGCATAAGAGATAATCAGTTGAATCTTTTTAAGAGTTACCTTGCAAATCGTGTTCAAACTACAGCAGTTGGAGAATATATTAGCACATATGCATCTATATCATATGGAGTTCCACAGGGCAGCGTTCTTGGACCAAGTCTATTCCTGATTTACATTAATGAACTAAGTTCATTTAAACTTTTTAATGGTAATCTGATCTCCTATACTGATGATACAGTTCTATTAATTTCAGCCATTTCCTGGCAGAAAGATTTTGATGCTGCGCAGGATGCTTTTGACAGTGTCTCTGGATGGCTGGGTGAAAATCTTTTGACACTAAATCTTAATAAAACACCTACCTATACTCGTCTTTGTATTTAAATCCCAACCAGCTGCACAATTATCTGTAAGATTCAGAATTAAACTACTAACTTCAGCAATGTCAGTCTCTAATAAAACAAAAGAATTAATGGAGCCGGAAGCAGGACCCTTAGAAGCGCTAGAAAAATTATGGTTTGGATTTTTCGCTATTATTTCTGCTAAAGTTACACCAACACTAATAAAATATTCATTTATTTTATTGACGGACTTATACGGACAAGACTCATCCTTCAATAAATTCTATAAAGATTTTTTTGTTTTAGCTGTGTGTGTTATATTTTTAATTATATGCCATATTTTTTAATTGTTATTTCCAGCTTCTTTTATTTGACCCTTTTAATAAGCTCTTTTTACCTTTTTGCTCTTTTTTCTATTATTTATTCTGTGCTGCCGTGGTTTCTGAGTCATACCACAGAATAAATAATAGTATTACGTACAGAAGTTGCACTCTTTTGATGTTGACTGCTTGCCGACGTTTTAATAGCCTACATAGTTATTATTAATCAGATAAATCGCGCAC